GTGCGTGTGTATATTGTGTGCGTGTGTGTGTGTGTGTCGTGTGTGTGCGTGTGTGTGTGTGTGTTTGAGTGTATGTGTGTGTGCGTGTGTGTGTGCGTGTGTGTGTTTGTGTGTGTGTGTGTGTGTATGCGTGTGTGTGCGTGTGTGTGTGTGTATGTGTATGTGCCTAGATAGACTACCTTACTCCAATCACTTATGAAAACTCGAGATTTCAGACCAGTAATGGTCAAACATACTTTCAACTGCACTCGCTCGCCCTTCAAGGCTGACACTAACTCGACCTCATCGGGAAGATTATCGAGTTGGATCTCAAGCACTTCATCACCAGTGCTGTGCAATGGGATCTCAATAGACATCCCGGACGATAATTTTATTCACGATGGTTCGGTGTATTTGGGATGGTTGTGTACGACAGCTTAGTGTGCTGTATAGGATATCTCAGAAGACTCGCCAAGGTATGTATCTGCAGTTCAAGCCGATATGTCACACCCACGAAAAGCAGAAAGCTATTTACATATTTTAGTACCAGTTGCAGTTTTAGGGTTTTAGGGTTATCGGCTACAACGAAATGTCCCAAAATGAAGAATAGTGTCTTAAAAATATTGAAGAAGGTGTATTGTTGGAGCCATCAGGATAAATACAAAATGCTTTTGGAAAAACCCATAATGACATACCCTTACTAATTATAATTATAAAGACATACTTCCATTGGCTCAAATCATAGATGTACATGTTTTTTTAAGCCTTTTGTGAAGAAAAAAATTAAACACGTATAGCATTGCAGAGTTTTAAAAATTGATATAAAGGATCGTAACACGTGCTCAGTGATGGGCCAGTCGCCACACCGCCGCACCGCCACACCGCCAGTTTTTCACCAGTCCTCCGAGGCTCTGAGTCTCAGAGCCTCAGACTCGCTCAGTCTCTCAGACGTCAGTCCTCCACTCCTCACAGTCCTGGACTCCTGACTCCTCCAGTCCTCTGTCCTCAGTCCTAACTGGCTCACTGACTGTCTGACACAAACCCCCCTCCTGGGTCTCCCCCCCTTGCCCATTACCGCCCCCCCCCCCCCAAACCCCCTAAATAATTTACTGAAAGAGGGCTACATTTTTAGTACATTTTTAATAATTTACTAAATTTTTTTTCACAAAAGAGAGCTGTAAATATTTGACAAACTCGTATACTATTTATTACGTCAATGCCAGGGGAGAGTCGCATTGTGGAGGTGTTGTAGATGGCACACACTGGTATACGAGACGGGTATATATTATAAGTACACATACATATACATATGTATTATACATCACAGGTATTGTACCATTGTTGTTGAGGAAAAATTGGTGGATAGTTGACGTGATTCTCAATCGATCGGTCAACAGAGGTGTGATACGCTTTATACAATCTGGATATTAAAGCGATATCCCAATCATAACATATATATCAAACAAACCTATTCAAAACGTATTATATTGTACAACTGTACGCTTGACACAATGAGCAGGAGCGAAAATACTGACTCGTCTGTGGACATAGAAGCCCTTGAAACACAGCCTCTCTTAAGTGCACGCCGTGATAGCCATGGACACTCGCACTCAATTGCTAGTGAAATTGATTTGCACAAAATACATGGCGATGACCGTATAGGAAAGAAATCTGTTGCAGCTGAACGATCACGTGCCCATGCGGCGAGGAAGATATACATCGCGACCGCTGTGTGCTTCTGCTTTATGGTGGGAGAAGTAGTAGGTAGGTTATGTATATATGTGTGTGTGCGGTGTACGTGTGTCTGTCTGTCTGTCTGTCCGTCTTTAAGCGTTTGAGTACGTTCTCGGTTGACCTTCACTACCATCATTTAAGTACTTATTTGTATGTGTGTATACATAAAATCATAATTCATATTAGTTGCGAGGAGACATATATCCATCGCAATGCCCGTATTTTTCTGCTATATGATTGGGAGTTGATATACATTCATCGCAATATCTGTAAATTTCTGCTTTGTGGAGGAAGAAGTGTTTATTATATGTTGTCTTTGGGTTTGAGTTTCCTTGTACGGTCTCGGCCGGCCATTTAAGCCTCAAACAACATGCATAAGATTGTTTATCCTATTTGTGTTATTCATGTCTATACTATTCATCTGGTTTTTGCCCGTATCTACGTAGTTATCGTGTGTGTATTCCTATTGGATATTATCTTTCTATTTTGGATTTGCAATCCGCACTATATAAGCGTGGTCGCGATATTCACATACTTGCGGCGGTCCCTGTATATGAATATGAACAGTGGTATCCTCATGCTTTTTGATGTAGACTCGGATGTATATGTTCGATGCAGTTACATGTATGGGATCCTATTTGTATGCAGTTTACGAATCGAAGTTATTCAGTGAGTACCTATTTGTCTATTTATTAACGTTTACAGAAGTATATATTGGAATATATATATATGCGTGTGTGTGTGTGTCATATACATATATATATAGACTCGATGTATATGTTCGATTCAGCTACATGTATGGGATCCTATTTGTATGCAATTTCCAAAAGTTATTCAATAAGTACCTATTCATTTATGTATTTGCGTTTACATAAGTGTATTTATATATATATATATATATATATACGTGTGGGTGTCATATATATATATTAGCGTCCCTACATATAGGCATAGCTATCAGAGGCGACATAGTGGTAACTAGATATATCATACAATGTTCATTTGTTGCACAATGCCTGTATAATGTGTATTATATATTCGTGTCTTTAGATACATATGCAAAGATAAAAGATTACGCAAATGTATTTATTTGTCTAAACAATTATGCGGATATATTTGTGCGTGTGGATACCTCTTTATGATGTTTGGAAATACAAAAGACAATGCACATGAACATCCACAAACACGACTTCCCGAGCATATATTTTGATATCATACCTTGTATGCCTCGCATGTAGTATGATGCATCTCTGTACATTTCCCATCTTGCGCGTACCGTTATAGACCCTTCGTACTCGTAGATGCATATACATGTTTAGAACGTATTTTCACTATGTACGGGCTCAAGTACCCTGGTACGAGATCATATGTCCCTCCATGATATACTCACGTGCATATACCTATAGCCATCTCTATATACGTGTATATATATATGCATTTCCGCACTTCATGGCCATCTCGTACCTTTTGTATCGTGTATCGTTACACCCCCGCCATACTCAGACCCTTCTCCCGTGCCACAGGTGGTTATTTTTCCGGCTCTCTTGCGATCATGACGGATGCCGCGCATCTTCTGAGTGACATTGCAGGATTCTTTATTTCACTCGTTGCCTTACATTTGGCGGGCAAACCAGCGTCGCACAAAATGAGTTTTGGCTATAATCGGGCTGAAATCGTAGGTGCCCTTCTGTCTGTGTTGCTTATTTGGCTGCTCACGGGTGTGCTGCTATTTGAGGCCGTTTCGCGATTGTTTAACCCGATACCGCTAGATGGGAAAACCATGTTTATCACTGCATGTGCGGGTGTGTTCTGCAATATTGTCATGGCGACAACGCTGTCGCACTCTCACTCGCACGGCCTTGGCGGAGGGGATCACGGGCATTCGCACGGAGACGCGCCCGAGAAAGGTCATGGGCATGCTCACGGCACATCGGCACAGGAGGAAGTGGAAGAAAACATCAACGTGAAAGCAGCATATATACATGTCCTAGGTGACCTAGTGCAGAGCATTGGTGTGGTGATTGCCGCGGCTCTGGTGTGGCACAACCCCGAGCTCGTGTGGGTGGATCCTATATGCACGTTTTTATTCAGTATCCTGGTCTTGGCAACTACATTCAACCTTATGAGAGATGCCTTGCACGTGCTGATGGAGGGAGTGCCGAAGGGAATTGATGTGAACGCGCTCAAAGAGGAGTTGGAGAGCCTTCCGGTATGCTTCTTCGTTGTTTGAACACGCCTCTCAACTGCTAACGCTCCGGATACGTGCTGCTGTCTAGAAAATTCGGCTCGAGTTTGCTTTAACGTGCGCTCCAAAATACTACTAGAGTGTGGACTGCGTATGTTTATATGTATGTTTGCTCTGTGTGTTCTCGTGCGTGGTGAATACATTCTGTGTTGTTTCACATGCGTATTTTTTGCAAGTTCATATATATGACTGTTTGCCTAAATTGGCAGCTCATAGCATTGAATAGATAAAGCGTGTGTTACTCAGTGTTGAAGTGGTTTGCGCGACCGATAAATCTTCTCGTTCAGAGATTGGTCTCCAATTATTAGTAAACTCAGTCAAAAGTGCTAATCTTATCCTTTCGTTTGTGTTCATAGGGCGTTGTCATCTCACATGACCTGCATGTGTGGTCGATTACTATCGGACAACCGGCTTTGGCCGTACACTTGTGCCTGGAGCCGGAAGTATGCACAGCCACAGTGCTCCTAGAAGCACAGCATGTCATCTGCGATAACTTTGGTATACATCATAGCACGGTACAGTTAGAACAGAGTAATTTCGACAATCATTGCGTAGGTATGGATGACTGTAATTCCATTTGTGTGGGACCCCGGGGGAGTATAATGAGAGGCGATATGCGGAAGGGAATCGATAGCACGACGGATCTCAACAAGGCCAAAATTAAGAGAGGCTCTAAGTCTAAAGCGAAGACTAATGCATCGCAGTCTGGAGATTCGCCCCCGGCTACAAAAAAATAATTTAGAGCTCAATATAAACCAATTTTAGAAGAGATATCCATGGAGGTTTGCAAAGTCAAATTAAACATAGGAAGCGTTCTTTCTCTGATTCGGTTATTGATCAATTCTCATTCTTCGACCCGCAAGCTGTTTGTCGGTGACAGTAAGGAAAACCAGGCAAAAATTGAGTGGTGATAAATCATGTCGCGACATGGAGACTGAAAGCGTTATTTCCGTATTGGTTGATTTTGGTAGTTAAGAAAATCGACACCGTCAACTTGCTCTTGGGAATTGAATATGAAGATTATAAATGGATATGACAAAATTGCAATTGTAGTACTGTCTAGCTTTATTACTCGATAATTAAGCGACTGTCTCGAGACTAGTTCATCCAAAGTCTTAGTGTTAAATCCATCTTCTAACTGGACAATCCACCTATCCTGTTTCTTATCCGGTCACGCTGATAAATAGGCCCAACCCCAAGAGGTCCACAGTCCGGTCCAAATCGTAGAGGACAGGGCATCCGCACTCTAGGAGACATCCGAATCAGTCCTTCCTACACAAATGGGAATTCTAAAGTGGAATCGAAAAGCAGCCATTTACTCTATAATATCAGTGTATGACTGTTTTTGAGTGCTCCGAAATTGAACAAAGGAATTCTTCTGTTGACAGTGGGAAGACTTAAACGGCACAAATAACGTAGTTATTAGAAAAATTGATCATTTGTGAGGTGTATATTGACGTACTACTACAATTGCAGATATTTCATCCATGTTCATGATATCATTTTACTTTCACAAGCCTCCTGCACTATGGAGTAAATGTTAAATACGAAACTAATCTACATACATATCCGCGACACAAAGTTACACAAGCAGTCATACACAGCAGACGTTGAGTGCCTATATATGCATGCACTGAAACACAAAAATCAATGACAGAATACTATTGGCACTTGGTCCTTTTCAATTAAAGTCAACTACTATATGAGATATACTATTTCAAGTACGTATCCGGAAAGTTCCCAAAAAAAAGTTGGCGAGTAGTCAAATGCAAATGTGGTGTCAATTATTAAAAATAAGAAGTTAGAAGTGTGGTGAAGGAACTAATTGTGCTGCAATCTGATATATATATGTGTGTGTGTATATTATATATATATGTGTGTGTGTGTGTGTGTGTAT